GTAAGCAATTGACAAATTTAACACTATAACCCCTAAGAGTGACTAACATCTTGATTCTCCTTACAACATCACCCTTGAATCAAACATTAAGGTCATGAGAATAAAGGAAATGATCACCAACTAAAGAAGCTCTTGATAGTAGAACAAATTCTCCTTGACAGAACCCTTGGAAATGTCTAGGGAGTAGTAAGGAGAATACGGATACTGATGTTAGTCGTAAAAAGAAAACAACCGTAAAACAATTTCTGGTGACAACAATGGGAAGATATCAACCGTTAGCCCAAAATTGGCCAAAATTTTAACCGTTAGCCGTAAAAGCCATCACTCCATTGAAACCATCTATATAGTCTTAGACATTCGTATCTTGATGGAGTTATTTTTGCCCGTTTACTAATTTGCGCCCATCAATTGCAAAAGTTATCTACAGCTGCTTGATCTACTAACTACAGTTACGATTGAAAAACGTTTTTGAAAGTTACGCTATATAAACGTGAATTGCATAGCCCGCGAGAATAGGTAGGTTTCCTAGTCCATTTTACGTTACAATGAATCAGTCCACTTCCCATTGTTTGAAGCTGATGCATAAAAAAGCCTTCTTGTCTCTATACATCAGCCAGTTTTAACCATTTTTCATACAGTTCATCCTTTTCTTTTCGGAGTTCTGCCATCTTCACTCGAAGCTCACTCAATTCTGTTTTCATCTCATCACAATCTCGTTTTATCTCTGCCGCTTTGTCTTCATTAATTGAGTCAATATTTTTCTCTGTGCAGAGTCTAGTGTCCAAGAGTTTTTGATAGTTATTTCCGTCAGTACGAATATTCTTCTGGTAATTCTTAATGAGCGATTGCAACGACTGACAAGAATTTTGCAGCGCGTGGGATTCTTCCTTCAACTTACACTCCGCGATGTTAAGGAAATGTATGAGTGCCTCTACGCTATCGATGATTATCGCACTGGAGGGATCTAGTTCACATGTCCTACGATAGTATTGAACAAGAAAACCAAAATCACCACGAATTTTGCTCAGTCTTGTCACTACATCCAAGAAACGAGTAAGCTGATCACATGCCTGGTCTAGTTGTTTCTTTCTTTCGCTTGAACTTCCACCTTGAGGAAATTGAGTCCAGGGTTTTGGTAATATTTCCTTATGACTATTCCTTAAAGGAGCAGCGTCCGTGTTGACGGGGGCGGCCCTGTTCTGATTCAGACTGCTGCTGACTGACTGAGCAGATGGCTCAGGAATATCAACGCTGTTGCTCATAGAGGACCTTCTCACAGTGGCAAAATGAAGACGTTGCACCAAGGGATACACAGGAGTTGGTTGTGGCGCCACAGAAACACACTGAATGCTAGGTTGCTGCCAGCCTGACGGTGAAATGAAAGGGATTGCTACTAAAGGATAAAACCGCTGGAGACTTGCTGGGGGTGTTTGAGGCGGCACCGTATTCACAGTAACAGAATTTCCTGATTGTGGCAAACGGCTTTGCTGTGCGTTGACAACTTCTACTGGCCTGACGTTTGAAGACGCCATACTGTGGGATAGTGGAAGATTACCTGAAGGATGCATGTTTGGGCTGCTCAACGGCACGACGATGGAATTCCCTGTATGTGCCGTGGTTATTGCAGGCCTGACATTTGAATACACCACACTAAGGGATGGTCGCAGATTACCCGAAGGATGCGTGCTTGGGCTGCTAAAAGGCATGACAATAGGGTACATTGTTTGTGCCGTGGTTACTGCTCGCCTAACGTTTGAAGACGTTATATCTGGAGATGTTCGCAGATCGACCGGAGGAAACAGTTTGGGGCTGCTCAAAGGCATGCAGACGGAATCCCTTGTACGTAACGTGGTTACTGAGGATGACAAACGGCATTGTTGTTTTTTAACGTCTTCCACTTTTACTGGCCTCACGTTTGGAGAGGCTGCTCTAACAAAGGGTTGCAGACTATCTGGGTTGCTTAAAGGCGCGACAATGGGATTTCCTGTTTGCACCGTGGCTATTGAGGAAGGCAAACGGTAATGTTGTGCGTTGGCGTCTTCTAATTTGACAGGTCTCACTTTTGAAGACGCGTCACTAGGAAATGGTCGCAGATTGCTCGAAGGATGCATGTTTGGGCTGCTCGATGGCGCGACAAAAGAATTTCCTGAATGAGCCGTGGTTATTGAGGATGGCGAATAGTACTGTTGTGCGTTGGCGTCTTCTACTTTTACTGTCCTCACGTTTGGAGACGCAGCACTAGGAAATGGTCGCAGAGTTGCCGAATGGTGCATGTTAGGACTACTGAAAGACAACGAACTCATCTCTTTTACAGTGTTTATTTGAGTAACTACATCATGAACCTTATGAGGCACACTATCTGATGCTGACGTCTTTCTGTAATTGGATGCCTCAGAAGAAACACAAGAAAAAGACGATTCTTCATTGGCCGTAGCTGAAAATGTCCGGTTACAGTTATTTTTATTCGCTTGTTGAGGTATTACCCCAGGTAATGACAAGCCATGAGAGGATCTTTGTTGTTTCAACGGACGGCTTGGCATTTCAGGAGGAACTGCGTAACGCTGATTACTATCTGAATGGCTGGAATTTTCACCACTGCCAGTTATCAACCCTGATGAGAGCGTAAGGCAAGGAGTGGCCACTTGAGAAGTCGATGTTGCCACGTGCATTGGCTGCTGCAATTCTCCCTCTCCCAGGAAACAAGTAACTTTGTCTGCAGGCATGTTTGAAGACACTTTACCTTTATTCAATGCAACAGGCATAGAACCTAGAGAGAAAAGAGAGAATAGAAATGTAAAGTAAGAAAAATAATTCTAAATCAACAAAAGATATAATTGAATGGGAAGAAGAACCACAGTAAATAGTATAAGAGAGATGGTAACTTTTGAGGTCGGTAAAGAAATAGAGAAAGATGTTTTTCGTCTTGTCACGAGCGTGGGACAAAGAAAAAATTCAGAGTCCCCGTGAGGAATCGAACATCAGAGGTTCGCATTCCGCGCACCTATGCTCTACTACCGAGCAACAGAGACTCTAATGTGAGCGAAGCCTATAACGAAGTTCATATGACACGAGTCCTGCATAATGCTTGGATCAGCATATGTCGATAGCGTCATGTTCGTAAATAGAATAAGAGAGAAGAACCACAGTGCGCTTAAATCCTGGGTCAAACAATTGAGTTAACCAATTGGAAAATAGTACAGTCCATTTTTAAAAATATCCTTTTCCCTACTGACCAGGATGGGATCTTGCAAGATTCTTCTTTCTTCCAGCGCTAACACTCATTCTTGCCGCGTTCTTTACCCTTGGATCACGTCGCTTGACTTTACCGCATCTCTCTCCACTTGTGCACCCAAGACAGGTACTAGAACAACACCTGCTTGTAATCAAAATTCGTCTAGATTTCCTCTGTGTGGAGTCTCCTGACACATCATGACCCACTCTCTTCTTGCCAAGGTGTTTTGCAGCAGATGGCAAATACTGTATTGAAAATCCAACATTCCCTGGCAATGGAATACACTTTCCAACATCAATTTCATCCAACACAACCTTGAAGTCACGTATCTCTCGGTTCAGACTTGAGCGCAATGTGTTCTGTTTTATGAAGGTATCCACAGACACGCCTTTATCAGCTTTTTCCCTTCTGCTGTTCATTATTGCTGGACAGTCTGTCTACCCAAGACCTAACAGGCTTTTTATCTGTTGAGTGTAAAGACAGTAAATTAAACAAAAACTAATTTGAATAATAATAGTACTAATTATAGCAATAATAATGTTAATGGTAATAATTTAAAAAAATGATGATAGTAAAAATAATAATAATGATAGTAGAGGTAAAGAAAATAATTACAAAAATTATCATGATGATAACAATAATATCATTTAGATTGATTTCTAATCATCTGTGATGGTAATGGGACTAAGTGGAGTCTAATTCGGTCTGAAATCATACCAGTGATAACAGCTGTATAACAATAACAGTATTCACCATTAATAGTAAAGGTAAAAATAAACTGTCATCATTCATATACTAAGAGAAATAAGCTTCGAAACTGTTGTTGTAAATATGCGAAAAATCTGATAAGTATTCTTATCATCCAATTTATTACTATGAGAATAGTGTAATAGGGTTTTCATGGGGATGCTTTTAAAAGATTTCCAAGCATTTGAAAGTCAGATTGTACTAATAAACAATACTTATACATTGTAGGGAAATAAGATCGAGTAGCTATCGTATATAAAATGAAATTACGTGTGCACCTTTCATTTGTCCCAAACTTCGAGAAAAAAAATACATCTGGTGCTGGTCCTTCGAAATTAAAAAATGCTGTAGGGTTTTTAAGCATATCTTTGCGATAACAAGGATTCGATCGCCTGTTTAGAGATTTGGTCACTCGCTTCTGTCGAACTACTCAACATAATAAACTCAGCAATACAAAGATTTTTTCTAAGTAATACGCAGCAGCTAATACTCAAGACATACTTACACACCAAATACTTCTCGAGACTACAATAGCCATTTGCGAACCATTCGAAAGGATCGACAAGATATATCTATGCTTCTGGATAATAAGTAAAATGGCGGTCAAAACAGTTTGTAGTTCCCAGGAGACATCGAGGAAAGCTCGAACAGATGTCAAGGGTGCCTTTGTCACGCAACACAACAGGTCACTTTCTAATTTCTCACCACCTCCAGTAGGATTTGCAAAATTTGATTTGCCTCTTTTATTTTTAATTCAGACTGAGTTCCTATATGAGTAAAAAAATAAACAGATAAATCAATTAAAAAAATCAATCAATCGGTGAATACAGCCGCGGTGTCATGACAGAGTACTAATTTTTCCTTTGACTTTACATCTGTTTTTTTGTTGTTGTTGTTCGTATGCGTTTAATATTGCATGTGCTCAGCTTGTGTCTCCTGCACTCACAAATCAAGCAAAAGAACTTACGTAAATGAGAGTTACCATTATCTTCCCATAGTCCCGTATAATTATACTAGCAACGTGGCCTCTCTTTTCTTCTGACGTCACCTTGCGCAACAGCAGGTACCCTTAAAAATTTCAACAAAGCCAACATGACAAATGAAATTTTATTTTCATGGATATGGAAATTAGCTCATGATTTGCCACAGATAAGGCAGTTCCAACTAAACCATTGAAAAAACTTTTGCTTTAACGAGCAGAGTCAAGCGTACCTTGTTGTTATATATTTTCCTGATGAATGCGGATTACGATTATTTGTTTAAACTTCTCCTGATAGGGGACTCCGGCGTTGGAAAATCATGTCTCCTGATCCGCTTCGCAGACGACACGTTTACGGACAGTTTTATAAGCACAATAGGAGTGGACTTCAAAATAAGGACCATTAATGTTGAGGGAAAAATCGTTAAGTTACAAATTTGGGACACTGCTGGACAAGAGCGCTTTCGCACGCTAACGACAGCTTATTATCGAAGCGCACACGGGATCATCATGGTATATGATGTGAATGAAAAGGAAACTTATTTACACATCGATCAGTGGCTGGAAGAAATAGAAAGATATGCTTGCGGCGGAGTGAACAAACTTCTTGTGGGAAATAAATGCGATTTGTTGGGTAAACGCCAAGTTGAGTACGAGGTGGCCAAAAGTTTCGCGCAAAGACTTCAGATTTCGTTCATTGAAACAAGCGCAAAGGACAGAACCAATGTTGACAACGTGTTTTATACAATGGCGGAAGAACTAAGAGAGAAGCTTGGGTCACCCCTGACTTCTCCCGATGGTGGAGGTGAAAATTTAAGCTTGAAAGACAGTACTCCGGTTAATACAAGTAACTGGCCGAAATGTTGCAGTTTTTCATGATTGAGTGGTAGTACTTGCGATTGTTACGAATAATAAAAAGGCTCGATATTTGCTCATAAACAAGACAATCACTTCAAGAGAGATTACGATTAAAAATATTTGTCTTCAAGGAGTATGGTGAAACTGTAACCTGCATGCGCAACCACTAGGAAAGTGTAGTGTTGTATTGGAAGTAAGGGACATTGTAAAATGGGTAAAGAAACACTTTCGAAAGCTTCCATTGGAAAATCAAAATTCTTGAGAAAGACAAAGTACTATTCAATACATAATTGTGGAAGGAATATGGCTTTCAAATGTTATATGCAAAAAGGGAAAAATTTTTAGTTTTTGGACAGATACAGTTTGATTTCAACATTTTGGGTAAATTCCAAGTGCGTATATGTGTTTTTATCATTGTTATTATTATTAAAAATAACAAAAGATGAAAAGTAGGGATTCAGACTGACCAAGTTAATATTTTGCAGCTTTAATATTGGGAATTGGAGGAGGTCTTTTATTACCAACTAGAACGAATCTCTAGCAACAACTATATCGGAAAATCTAGAATTTACATCGACATGAAAGTACTGACGCTTTACCTTGCATGATAGTTGGCCGTTTTGGTAGGCAAATAAAAAAGCAAAATATGCAATGTCAGGAGGATTTTTCCAAGGGTTAAGGCTCTCCATCTCTCTTAGGAGGTGCACAGGAGTTAATCAGTTGGAGGATATAAGGTTCAAATGATCTTCTTTTTAAGGGCCTCTGGGCTATATATATTTGCATGTGTGCATATTATATTGTGGCACTGGACCGCAAAATATATTCACTGACAGCCGGCATATAAATCGGCAAGAAGCCAGTGTTAAGAGCTATTCAGTTTTCAGTTATTTCTGGTTCAGATGAACGACAAACCCCAACGACTGCGTTCAGAGACAAGACAGAGATCTCTTCGTAATGAATTCTGATTACGATTACTTGTTCAAAATCCTTGTGATAGGCGACTCTGGTGTTGGAAAATCGTGTCTACTGATGCGCTTCATAGACGACAAGTTCACAGAGAGTTTTATAAGCACCATAGGAGTAGACTTCAAAATACGCACCATGAATGTGCATGGAAAAATTGTCAGACTACAGATATGGGATACCGCAGGACAAGAACGTTTTCGTTCGATTTCGGCGACTTATTACCGGAACGCGCATGGAATCATCTTGGTCTACGACGTCAATTGGATGGAAAGTTTTTTGCACATCGATCAATGGCTAAAAGAAGTCGAACGAAACGCAGGAGCCAGAGTAAGCAGACTTCTTGTTGGAAATAAATGCGATCTGGAAGGTAAAAGACAAGTTGATTATGAAGTGGCAAAAAATTTCGCTGATGACATTGGGGTTTCGTTCGTTGAAACAAGCGCGAAAAATGACACTAACGTCGATATTGTTTTTAACACAATGGTGGAAGAACTTAACGAAAAGTTGGCGAGTGGTTTACCTTTAATGGCCACTTCTCCCAACAATTCGGCCAAAAGTTTAGGTTTGAACGACAATCAGTTACCTGCTGAATCAACTAGTCGGCAGAAATGCTGTAGTTTTTCCTAATTTTTTACATAGTAGATCAGTGGTCGAATAGGAATTACTGTATTGTCTTAAATATTGTGAGATGCCGGTCAATGATGATCGATGAGCAAATGTTTTCGACTCTCGCACATGATGCTTAGTGTTTCTTGACAGCCAAGTAAAGCCCTTTAAGAGGAGAGCTGAACACATTATACTACATACACTGTATACAAAAATGAGATGAATGATTCAGTAAAAAAAGTGAATATATTAATAAATATACAGATAAATAAATAAACGAACAAATAAGTAAATAATTAAAAACCATCGCGGCAAAAATTTTAGTTCAAATTATCTTGATCTTCGCCGAGCTCTATATTGACTCAGCGTATTCCCCTTGATTTGCGTCACGATTTGCGTGACATCTGCGGGTTGTGTTGAGCCTTTAAGAACCAAAACATGGCTCAGCGGAGTTAAGGTCTGCTATGTAACATGCACAAATAGTACACTCCACGTGAGGGAACAGGGCCAATATTGACGTGAAGGCTTTCGGAAGTAGACGTCTGGATTACACTCTTTTTACCTTTGAGATTGCGAGATATCCGAATCGTTTCTTCGAATAATGAGCGATATTGTAGAGCTGCAAAGTCCTGATGGAGATCATGCAACTATTCAACTTCACGGCAAGGGGATAATTATGAGAATTTTGTGTGCTGTTCATCACGTGAAAGAACTCCTTAGGCACCATCTGTCGTTTGTTGCTCCAGTGAAATATTCGTCGGAGAGAGAACTAGCTGCAAGGGGAAAGAGAATTCCGCGTCTCCCAAATTCCGGATGAAAAAAAAAAATGGACTATACCCTGACAATCAAATCAGCGTATTCCAGACTTGAGTGGAAAGCTTCCCACTTAAATTAACTCCGGTTTTACGTTGAATTAACTGTTTTCGAGAGAGTTTTTTCTTTCTTCTCTATGTTAAGTTTTCTGTCCTAGTAACTTATGTTAACAGGTTAATATCAAGTGCATTTGTTATGTCAATCTGCGACTTGTAGCTAAAATAATAATGATTGGGTTGGTATGATTTCTACAGGTGCAACTGTGACGTCATGGAAGTGCAAAGGACGGGAAATGCTGTTTGTAAGGTAAATAATTCAAATTCTTCCAAACCTTTCCATCTAGCGATACCAGCAGACTGGCAAAAAACTTGATTAGCTCTTTTTTAAAATATTACCAACGTTTGACTGAAAGAAAATAAAAACTTTCCTTTAGAAGCCACTCATTGTGACATGTTTTATAATCGATCTTTCATAATTTATTTTTTAACAGTGAAAAGGCGGTTTTTGACAAGAAGAAGGCGATCAGAGGCGGTATTCCAGTAGTGTTTCGTAAGTAATAATCGTATATTGTGAGGACAGGAATCAGCTGCTATATATTGGAAGCTAATCCAGTCAAATTTCACGTGAAGAATATAATGCTTTGAAAGAGCCAGGATCAAGATTGCGATGTAATTTATGCTGTTGCAATATGTCTTGAGGAACGAATCCTAGAATGGTTTCTGTTCAACAGCAAACTTTGGACCATGGAGTCTTGGACCTCAGCATGGATTTGCCAGAACTAGCCAATGGCACATCAGCCAACATCCAAAGGTTTGGAAAAAAATCAAATGGGCCTTGCAATTTAACCTAACCCTCTACACTTGAACTTCAGTATGTATATTCTCCATACCATTCGCTAGTCATTTCCTAAGGTGCTGACAGGGAGAATTTGTTTAACAATCAAGAGCCTCTTTAGTTGGTGATCATTTCCTTTATTCCTGTGACTTTGATGTTGGATTCAGGGGTGATGTTGTAAAGAAAAATTAGATGCTAGACTTACTCTTAGGGGTCAAAAGGGTTAATTCACTTTCTATGTTAAGCACAGATGTAGGGGAGATATTTGGAAGACTGGATGGCTAACAAATTGTACATCAGTTTAATCAAAGGAGATGGAGGTTATTTCCATAGGTATCAGGATAGGTCTGTGGTATCTCAAAGGATTTAAATTCATTAGGTGCTCATTTTTTCAAGGAAGAGAATGGTGAAACAAGAGCAGTGTTTTCTCTAGAGGACAGTGAAAGTACAAGACAAATGTGGGATTATAAGTAAGTGTCCCACTCTTATCATGGACCCAGTAAGGTGCTTGGGTTTGTTGTTGTTGTTTTTTTTTTTTTGGCAGGTGCAAATATTTATTTTGGAATCTGGTAACTTTTAAAATTTTTTTTCCCTGTGAGACATTTCTCTTAAAATTCCACAATTATTACTCTTGAAGGTTTAGGGTTCTGTATGAAGTGACTGTGGGAAAGCAGCATTTAAAAACCACCATCACTGTTGAAAACAAAGGTAAAATAAAATGTTCTAGATAAAAAAAAACCAAGGATACAAATACAACATTAGTAACATATTTTTAGTTAGTTGTCTAGATTAACAGCTACTGCCTGTTATTTTTCTAAGCATTTATTTTATCCTGGATTAAAAACACTGTTGTCAAAATCAGGTCAGTCAAATTTTAAAAATATTTCTGAAGGTGACAATGATGTTGGAAACCTTGGAAAATATGTTAAGTTACATTGAATGAACTTTGACCATTGGTTTAACTAATTAATTTTGATTAATGCTGACAGAAGTGAATGAAACCATCTTTGTTAGACCTATTTAATAAATATTTTAGGATCTTCATTTGAATTTTTCATACAATTCAAACTAGACAGTTTGCATTCGTGATCTTTGCAGACGAGAAAGCCTTTGCCTTTACCACCCTTCTACACACTTATTTACGAGTTCCTGATGTTACCCAAACGACAGTTTCTGGATTAAAGGGCTTAAACTATGTTGATAAGGTGAGTGTTCCAACTTTAATTAATGCTTTTTTGAGCTGAGTTTAACAGGGAATATACACAGCCTCATGTCTGAACCCTCTAACTCCCAGTAGTGATTAACATGTAACTTCTCCTTATTGTATCTACACACTATCCAGCAAACAGGTAATGAGAATACTCAAACTTATCAGGTGGAAGTTGTTATCTTACTCTGACATCAAATTCTTGAAACTAATTTACAAGGAAATATGTAGCAGCTGGAGGAGAGAATTAACAACCAGAACTTGGGTTAACCTCTCAAGTCCTAAGAGAGAATGTTTATTTTAGTGTTTTAGTGCTGAGTACTCTGAAATTATTCTTTGTAGGTTCTTGGTGGAAAAACATTCACAGAAAGCAATGAACCTGTGAAAATTAATGGGTTTGCAGATAGGTAAATAAATGTAAATAAATGTAATTTTACCTAAATTGTCAAATTGAAATTCAGACACATTGTATGCATAATTTCATTGGCAATTCTTGATCAATTTTTTTTTTTCAATTTCCATAATTTGAAAATCTAGTCATGACTAATAATAACCTGAATAGAACATTACTTAGAATGAAAAGGTTCATATGTGAGCTGAGAAAGCATTTGTTATTACATCATTTGATTAAAGGCACTCATGCTACTTGTCTAACAATTAGGCTGTACCATATGGGTGAAAGTTTTCTTTTCTTTTCTTTTTTTTTTTTTTAGGGTTTACCAGAACTCTCCAAGTGAACACAAGATAACAAATGTTGGCTCTAAAAATTGTCATGTAACTCTCTGGAAGGAAAATTTTCCAGATACAGGTGACATCAAAAAATTAAATTGTAAGTGACTTAATTTCTTTTGGTAGACTAATGCATGTTTTTGTTTATTTTTCAGTTGTGTGGAATCCTTGGGCTCAAAAGGCCATTTCAATGGCTGATTTTGGAGATGATGAGGTTTGTTCCTCTTTACCACAAGTTGAGTACTTTGCTGCCCTTGAGGGACAAAGAAAATGATTTGGAATGATTTTTAAAACTATTTCCTTTTCATCTCTTGTAGTATCCCAATATGCTATGTGTTGAAGCAGGATATGTCAGCAAGCCTTTTGTACTTGAGCCAGGAAAGAAATTTGAAGCCCAGCAAACATTTTCATGTTCTTGTGTTTAGCCTTGAATTTTCATACAATAGGTAGTGACCAAAATCAAGTTAGAAATGAAATTAATAGGTAGCTCTGATAGCATTAGTGCAGTTTGAAAATAAACTACTACCAATAAAAAATGTAGGGATGGTAAAAGATAAGACTAATGATAGATGTGGGTAAACAGGAAGATAGGATTAGGATATTTTTTGTGAACTAATAGATGTAATGACTTTTCTGTACTCTACCTGTTTAAATCAATTTTAAAAGGATAGGGATTGTTTTTATCAGTTTATAAGGGTAGTCAGAGTATAATATACTGTAAACCGTTTTTTCTAATGTAGGGCTAACACCCCAATCATCAGCTTTAGAAATCCTTCATGGGAGCCAATTTACGTAATTAACTCAGTTGAAAAAAAAAAATCTCTGTTCAAACTATGTACTGTTATACACCAATATGAGTGATGAATTTTTTTTCTTCAAATCAAGATTGTATTATACAAGCTATTCTCAAATTTCCAATACTCTCAAAAATTTCATGTCTAGGTGTATAAAACAAAGTAAAATATCAGCCTGGAACTACTAACAATAACTGTTCAAATAGACTAGAAGTGTGTAGAGCCAATGAACTGAAATCCAAACAACAACATCGATCTATTTGTGCATTTAGTTAAAATCATACGTCACTAGAAAACTGTTACAAAGACAGTTTCCTTGCATTGTATAAAAATAATTAAACAGTAAAAGAAATTGCATTCTAAATGGATATTCACAATGGTAGTAAAATAAAAAATGTTATTTAATTACCCTGAAATATTGAATAACAAGGATATAATATCAGCTTATAAACTAAGGATACCAGCTGGGAAAAAAGACAGCTTGCTGCTGCAATGTTGTGTGTTATTTCTAATAAAAAAGTACCTTTGGAGACTGTAGTTTTTTTTCAGTTTGAATTACTTGTCCTTTCTTACTTTGAACATTTTCTTTCTCCTTCACCTTCAATACTGTAAGTTTTTCATATTTTAGTTTTTTGGGGGAATGATTAACCTGAGAGGATTAATGCCTACAAATAATATGCGTATTTCCAAAACAGTCACAAATAAAAGTGTTTAACAACTCACACTTTTCCCAACCATAGCAGCTTAGGTGACTTACCTAAGCTTCTTTCTGTAATCTTTTAAACAAAATTTAAATAGTATTCAGTGTCATCATACATTCAACCTGGTAAAAGATAGCCTGTACTTGACCTACTACAGCTATAACACTGGCTTCTTCCAATACTGCATTCCACAAAAGTCAAAAGAATAACTATTTTGAACAAAACCACTTGAGTAAAGAGCAATGAGCTTTAAGTTCTTTTTTCTGAAATTCAAAAGACATGGAACTCAGACACAGGAGTGGGACATGTGGGTTTATAATCCTTCAAATATCAAGTCAAGGGCAGCTTGGACGTTACCACCAGTAGCAGTGAGAGCCTGGATACTGAGTGCATCATCTGTGATTCCCATATCTCTGAGTTGCTGCAACTGTGACTGGAAATATTCCAAAAATGGTTATCACTTATCTTTATCAACTGATAGATTAATAAGTAGCTCACACATATGTGTGAAATAGTATCAGTTACACTCATTAAAATTATTATGATCTAAAATTAAAAGTTATAATAATTGTTTCAATGACTCAAAAGGGCTGGGATCTGAACAACCATATAAGTAAATTTGTTGGAATGTGAACAAAAATTGGAATACATTAAATTAAGGAGGTCTTGATGGGAGTTAGAAGGTGACAAATATCACTTAATGAAGTTGATATAATTATTGCAAAGAAATGTTTAAAGTCAGAATGATGTGATGCAAAAGTTCACGAACCAACAGCAGTGTCCGATAAATTCAATAGAGATTATTCCTTTCTAATTGAATGGATTCACAAGTAACAATCAAGTTAAACAGAAAAAAATAACTTAATATCGATATTAGTCCCCAGAATGTCAACAGTGAGATCAATGAGTTTCTAACCTGAAGCTGAGATGATTGCTGAGAAATGTTCATGACAGATGCCACCGCTTCACTGACCATATCTCTTGTTATGGTTGGTCGTGAACTTGACGCTCTTGTACCTCTACTTGTTGATGGGATGACTGGTGAGAAAGCTGATGTTGAAGCACCTCTGCTTGTGGATGGCCCAGCTAAAAAAGTGAATTACATTTCCCTTAAAATACAATACAGTCAAGCCTTTATGGCCAATCCTATGGGAAATATCAACTTCTAGTGATACCAGCAATTATGTAGTGGAAAAAATTATAGTTTGCATGGAAAAAAGGAGTTTCTTCATCCTCTCACCCATAATGTAGTTGTTGCTTTTGTACACATCACATCTTCTTGAAAACAAATAGTGTGCATGCCATCAGAATTCAATGTAACCAACAATCAGAGCTCAAAAGGATTATTGTGTCAGCACACTGTACATACATGACAGCATAATTTTGAACTAATACCCTCACTTACATCTTTTATTTACAAAGGACGCTGCACAAACCTTCACTGCGTGTTGAAGAACCTGGAGAAATTCCTGCATTAGCTAAAGCCGATGATAATAATGATGATGTGACTGGTTGCCGAGATGATGATGCTCCTCTTGAGGCCGCAGCAGATCTTAATGCTTGGATACTCTCTTCATTTGCTGCCACCAGTTCAGCTTGAGCAACAAGCTATGGATGAAAGATAATACTCAAATTAACATCTAATAAAAATTTTAGATGTGATAGGACACAAAACATGATATCTCACCCCTGGATCCATGCCTCGCAGTTCATCATCAGAATCATATGTGTCACCAGCCATGTGACTCCTGGTGGAATGTTTACCTACCCCTCCCTCCTTGGCAATTGCTGCAGCAATGTAGGAAGCTGCCTGAACCAGGCTTGGATGTTCTCGCATTACCCTGTAAAAGATAATTACAAAAAACTTCAGTTGGTAACAATTTGCACAGAGAGTTCAAGATCACATTCAATTTATGGCTGTTATTAAAACTATTGAAAGGTTATTGTAAAACAAGAAGACAGAAATTCGTAAACAGTGAACAACTTAGAGAGAAAAGTTAATTTCACTTACGTCTCAACGTTTGCTGTCTGTACAAGTTGTTCAAGAAGTTCAGGATCTTGAAGAAGAGCTAAGAATTACATGGAAAAACATAAGCATATAAAGTGATTCAAATGTTTTAACTTTATTCTTCAGTAGCACAGAAATAAAAAGAAATAAAAATTAATTAAAGAAGAACCAAAAATAAGTAAATTACAGTAAGAGAAAAAGGATTAGCATTTGGGCAGAAAAACATTTAAAATGTCTCAGAAGAGATCATTAACTACAAGGAAGGTCAACAATGTATATGTATGGTACATGAATAACGACCTATTATCAGAAATTGAGAAAGGTGTTTTTTGTCTTGTCATGTGTGTGGGACAAAGAAAAAACTCTGAGTTCCCTTGAAGAATCGAACCTGAGACCTCTGATGCTCTACCACTGAGCCACAGAGACCCTACAGTAAGTGAGGTCTATTACGAAGTTCACATGACACACATCCTGCATACTGCTAGGATCAGCATTGTCAATAGCATCATGTTTGTAAAGAATAAAAGAGATGGTAAGTTTTGAGCTTGGTAAAGAAATTGAGGAATATGTTTTTTGCCTTGTCACAAGTGTGGGACAAAGAAAATAATTCTGAGTTCCTGTTAAGATCAGAACATTAGAGGCATTATGCAGGACACATGTCATATGAACTTTGTAATAGACCTTGCTCACTGTAGAGTCTCTGTGGCTCAGTGATAGTCTAGTGGAGCATCAGAGCATGAAATCAGATATTCACCAAGCTCATATTCTTTACATACAACCTATGATGTACACAAATATTACATAGAATTTAAATTTGGTTGATAAGTAGTGAGGGATGCTGAGGCCATGTGGTTGTAGTGTGTGGGCTTGGATCACTAAGTCCAGGGTGATTCAACCACTAACTAGGTTCTTATGTTGGATTCTTTGGTAAGTCACTACTGTCAGAGGATATTTCTCCACCTAGGATTATCAATGGGTACCTGAAAACTGTTAGGAAAACCTGGCAAATTAAAGGACAAGGGGGGTGACTTTGCAATATGCTGGTATCTTGTGCAAGGGTAATTAACCATACTATCACAGCATGAACCCTCTGCCTTATAAGCTGACATTATGTCATAAACAGTTATAACAATTCATTGTAATCAGAAATACTCACTCATAGCAACATGATCAGATGATAATCCTGGAGTGGCTACAGTCAGTTGTTCAAGCATGTCTGGATTGGTAAGAATTTTTTCAACCTGACAACAACAACAAAAAAAACAGTTGAATCAGAAAAAAAATACTTTTCACTCCGAAAGTTTTTTTTATGAAAAACAGCAAAATTTTCAAGAGATCTGAAACTTACTGTATTTCTGTAGGAAGGGCTCTTGATGGCTGCCTCTAAGACAGGGATCACTTCAGTGATTGGCACATCATCTGAATCAAGTTCTTTTGGGTGAAAAATTAAATGACATTAAACAAAAACCATGGATGTGTTTGCTTTAATTAACAATACTATATTAAGAAATTGAACTGAAAAAAATTAAAATAATTAGGAAGTGGCCTCTATATACCAAGCTATAAAGAAGAACAGACATTCACAATTAAAAGTAGAGAGTCTACCTCTGTAGCATTCTTTGTCTCAGAAATATTCAGAATTTACAATTTCTGACCCAAGGTATTTCATAGCATCCAACATGAATTAAGTATTAAGTCTATTCTAACACTAGATGAGCTAAGGAGCTCAAGCGCATAGGAAAAAGGTCTCATTGTACTAGCTCTGTACTTTATCTAGTTAGGTGATCTTGCCTCACTTGTTTGAAAGGGGATAAAACCCTCTCCACTGGATTTATTACTATCCAGCCTGAAACTGTCCACAGAACAAACCAGATGGCAATTGATCTACTGCTTGTCTAATCATCAAACAACTTAACTTGGATGACTGAATTTTCCAAACATAACTTGATACAACCTGACTTCCTGAATAACTGAATAAAGGGGGTAAGTTTCTAAGGAAACTGTGGTGCTGCATCAGTGGGAGAGTATAGCAGGTAATTTAGGGTTGATAACTGAGTTGAAAATGTAAACTGGTCACTATAAAGAGTGAAAAGGCTGACATTTCAAGTATTAGCTCTTTATTTGAGTGATTGTCCCCAATTCCTCCGACAAAGGGCTAATGCTCGAAACATCAGCCTTTTCAATCTTTACGGTGGTCAATTTATGTTTTCAACTCAGTTGTTAACACTTAATTACTTACTTCCTGAATAACTGCCTTTAATTTGGCAAGCACATATATTCTAAAAAACAAATGCGTCATTTTCACCTATGGGTTCTGGTTCAGGGTTCTTTATCATCACATAAATAGTAAATCCATCTTTGATTCCATAAGAGTCCAGAGTTTTCTCGTCCTTAAGCAGTTCTCCAGCAAATATAAAATCTAAAGAAGACAATTTATAGCTTCAGTGAATCTTTCGTATGGGTCAACAAAGTATAAAATATAATTTGTAAATCTTACATCTCAATACTTAAAATATCTGATAACCATCTTAAAATACAAGGGATCTGATATAATATTTACAACTACTTGATGAGCTAAAACATTTTCAACAAAATAAAAAGATTTCCTTCGATCGAGTGTTTTCTTTGGTATTTTTACAGTTTCCCGGCATCCACGACAGCTGCACGCTTGTTTCACAATGATGTGTTCCTTGACTTTTCTTATTGACCGCTTTTAAATGAAAGATGGCAGACTGGTTTTTTTTTTCAAGCATCAAATAGAGAAGTTTTATGGAGGAAATGAGAGGATATAGTGGTAAAAATAGACACTTTTATGGGTTAAAAAAGTCCAATGATCATCTCACTCTGCTGGTCAATCGGTATGTTCGTCTTCGCTGCTGCCTTTTCCTTCAATTCCTCAACTTTGCAACTTAACTCGATGTCATCAATGATATGCTTAGTATTGTGATAAGCTTCTTTGATTCGAACACACGGCATTTCTTAGCGTTCTTGTAAATATGTCAATGACTTTTTCGCCTGCAGACGTCGTCACCTATTGAAATTTACCTCACGGCTATTTTTCGCAAGGCATCAAAAGTGTCGACTACTTGGAGAATCTGGAGCTAGCGATTTGATTGGATAATGGTAGCTTCTAAACTTCGCGCGTCTCGTTAGACGCAAATAGAAATCAACAAGGAATGGAGTTCCTTAAGTAAGTTGCCATCTCATGGACCAGTTCACAGCTGGATCAATCGTATGGGCAAGTGCCCGTAGAGACATTTTTTGGCCTGGCGTGGTAAGTTTTCAGTGCCATCATTTGTTTCCTTCTGTGTTCTCAGTAGTTAACGTTCTTTATGTCCTTTGATCGTACGAAGTTGCTGCAAACTTGGGAAGGGTAGCTTAAAGTTTGAAGAAATGAAGTTAAGATCGAATTACTTTTTTGTATGGAACGCTTAGAAGCGTATAGCTATTGACTTGCAACTATCATGAAACGAGCAATTGCCCTTGCATTCTGTCAGAGTCTTAATACTGTACTCAGATAATCAGAGTATTTGACATGATCCTGCATGGTCACAACTGTAACATCAAGTTAATTTAGTAGGTCAGATGCCCAGATTTGTTAAAATACGTCCTTTAAGTCAAGCTCAACGAACTCCCTCCCCTTCGCCTCTATAGCTGACCAGGAAAGACCTTTGATTTCGATGTAGTTTTTATTGTTTTTCTTTCTGTCATTGTAATTGATTGGTACGCAATAGCTCTGTTACACGCAGTACCATTCCGAGGACAAGTAAATAACCCACAGTGTCACCTTGCCACTGTCAATGTATTTCAGGTGGTTGACGCTAAGGACACTGCACCTATACCAGCTAAAAAATATGTTAGCGTAAATTTCCTGATTGAGGATTCATAGTAAGTACCTTTGTTGCTAGATCAACTTCCTCTAATGTCAATTCTTGACCCTTACAATCCAAGGAAGGACCAAAACTAATATATATCTTCAATGTCAGTTTTATATCAAGCACACAATTGATAAGAATACAGGAAGATATGAACTAGGAGATTATTTTTTGATCAAATGCAATAGGGTTAATTGTTTTGGCAACAAAATTTCTTGTTCGGAATTTAGTTTTGTACCTCAAAAGTTTTAACTATTCTGCATGATTGTAAATGATTGGCAATCTATTGGGTATTTTGATCAGTGCACATTTTAGGATAAGTTCCCAAACATTTAATCAAATTTTCCTCTGTAAATATATTGCAGTGAAGACATCAAGAGTCCCAGCAAGATTTTCTTGTGGAACTGTGAAAAACAAAATACATTTATTGAAAAAGGCAGAGGTAACAAATTATTTTCAACTTTTTCACTTGGGCATTGGGTTTTCAGATTAAGATGTGAACGATGAAGTATGTGAGATTAAAAAAGGTTATGAACTAAAAAAAAATACACTGGTTTTAAAGCAGGTGAACTCTGGGAAGATTAATAAATCAACAAAAACAGAACATTACTATCCTTAACAGTTTACATGAAAAATGAAATATTTTATGCATGTAACCAAAGTTTACAAACCTTTGTTCTGTAATCCAGGTCTCCAGGATTAACATTTTTCAAAGGCATTATTTGGTGAGCTAAGATCACAATATGGTCATGGGAAATAATGTTGTAGTACCCAGGAAAGATAAAAACTATCTAAAACTACAATGATAAGCGGCTGCTTGCCATATGACTGCCAAATGCAAGTCACAAATTTGTTACTTTAGTTGCAAATAACTGATTATTGTGACAATATATGTTTATTTTTGTTATCATGTCACAGCGTTAAAGAGTGAAGAACGAAAAATCATTTTTAATAGGGCTGTCGCAAAAGCAGATAATCTGTTGAAGCAAGGTGAGATTAAGTGTTATGGTCATAGCAACATCAACATTCTTTGACCCTTTGACCTCTTAGACTGACAAGCATCTAATTTCTCCTTACAATGTCACTCCTGAAACACATTGAGGTCACAAGAAAAAAATTAATAGAAATGATCATCAGCTAAAGAAGGTCTTGGTTTTGAATGAAATTCTCCTTGTTAGTAGTCTTGGCCAAAAAGGACGGACAACTCATAGTTTATACAAAATAAGTAAAAAGTAAAGCCTATATTCAGGCCCAAGTGGCCCATGGGGCTTGTGCTTAACTTCGGTTTCAATAGCATGAAGCAGCTAGGAGTATTGCTACTCCCTCCTGGATGGGATGCTAGTCCGTCACAGGGTTACCCCCAGCATATTTGCTGTTACCCATTTGTACACCTGGGTGAAGAGAAGCACTGTGAGAGTAAAGTGTCTTGCCTTAGAATACAAGACAATGACCCCGGCCAGGGCTCAAACCCGGACCACTCGATCCGGAGTCAAGTGCACTAACCATGAGGCTACCGTGCCTCCACACAAAATAAGGAATTGTGCATAATTTCACTCTTCCTAAGTAATGGTTGTCTGGTTGTGGGTCACGTAGTTTATAAATGACAATGTTCTGCTGTGATATTTGTTGGTTGTAGTCATCTTTGTTTCATGCAGTTTAACTGCAAAGTATTTGTAAACACCATAACAGACAGAGACCAGTTTTGGCACTAGACAGTTTATTAAATGTATATATCCAACAAAAATAACACACTAGATTGTTATATAAAAGATATTGGACGAATACACTAAACCGACAGTCCAGTAATCGGTAATAGTGAAGAACAGTTCCCAAAAGATACTGTTGGCCATCTGTCAGCCAACAGTTGGCCAACTGTTGGCTTACCATTGGCCAACAGATGGCTGACAGTTGGCCAACAGTTTTCATAATGTTGCAGACGAAAGTGTCAGCTGACAGTTGGCCAATAGTTGGCCGTCTGTTGGTGACCTGTCAGCAATGTGTTGGTAAGTTGTGTGCTGAAATGATTGCAAACAGTTACTTATTTATCACTTCAACAACTATGTCGAAACAGGGAAAATTAATTGAAGAGAGATAGTTAGTATGGCTATTGCCTAACTTGCTTGCATTGGCTAGTGAAACATGCCTGTATTAGTTCGATTTCATTTGTCAGCCATATTGAAAATTTTTCCTTGTTTCCAATCCCCTAAACAAAATTTTGATGTCCTGCCTGCAAAACCCCGTTAGGATTAGTTAGGAAGTAGGTAAATACAAAAACTGGTATATACAGTCTGTCAGTAATGTGTCGGTATCATGTCGGCCGACAGGTTACCGACAGCTGAACATGGGAGCTATTGTTCACTTTTACCCAGTAATCAAGAATTAATTACAAACATGATTGAGATTAAGATACGATCAAAACTGTTGATGGTGTGGGTGGGACTGGGAAACTCAAACTTTCTTAAAGCTAGAAATAATTGCTTGCTTGCTAGATTACTAATAAGACATGCACAGATACCTTAGCCGTAATATACTAAAGTAATTTCACAATTAAAATGCATTAGCATAGTGAATAGCCATTGGCTCTACCCAAGTCATATGATTTGTATGCTGAACAAATTGCTCAATCTTAAGAAAAGAGAAAGTATTAATATGCACCCTACCTGTACCCAGTCCAGGCCTCCCAGTTATCAATGTCTAGATTCATATTAATAGAAATTAATATTCACAATAATTTGTTATTTATTGGGATTTCAGACGTGGAAAGAAGAGTTGTAAATTCCTCAGAAACTCAGAAGATTCCAAATGTGACAAATAGAAGAAGTACGATAAAACAACATTTGGAAAGTCTGGATGGAGCATTGGACCAGAATGGTAGCAACTGTGAAGTGGAATTGGACACAGCTAAGGCAAATGAAGAAAAAGGAATAATGAAAAGTCAGAAAGAACATGTGTTGAAAGGGCAGTCAAATTACTTAACGTCAGAGGCCAGTGAAACCAAAGAGCACTCACAAGCCTTTCAAAGACATCAGAGCTTGTCAAAGGAAAAAAGAAAACGAAAGGAAAAAGACCCTTGCAAAAAAATATTACCAGCAAAGAAAGCAAAATCAAGTGATCAAGGTGTACTAAGTGAGGTAAAACCAGAGCAAAATGAAAAGAATGTGGAAGAGTTGGATCTGAGGACATCAACTTGTAACAAAGATAACCTTGTTGCAAATGCAATCGGTACAAATGGTAATAGTAGCATCACTTCAGAAGGGAGCTCTGATGATGAAGAACTCATGTCTGAACTATTTTCTCCAAGCCAAGAAGCTGATAGTAAGTTAAATGTTCTTGCCTTTAAAAGAGTTCTTTTTTACCAGCATGTTCAATCTTCAAGTAATCTGTTGATCCAACAAAAGTGTTACATTTGACCAGGAATACTAAATACTTTGTCTTAAGTTTTAAAATAAAGGTAATGCATGCAATGTTGTATAAATTAAAGAAGATAGATGATGATTGATAATGACAATAATCTGAACAATAATGATAATGATAATGGTTTCACTTTAACAACAAAATCAGTAATCTGTGGATTATAAGTGAAGTCTACATTAAATTTATTCACAAAATTAACGGCAATCTCATTAATATTGGCTCCATTTTCTGTCAAGATCATTTTTCAGTTGGTGATATTGTTTGGGCAAAATATTATCGTGAACCTTATTGGCCTGCTGTGGTAAGTTTTCCTCATTTATTTGAATCATTGTATCATGTAATTACTTTTATGAAAAGAAGAAATTCCTCCATGAAGCTTTCTATACAGACCATGTGAAAAAAAATAAAAACCCACTTATTTTAAGCATGTCTTTGTAATAATTTTACGTTTGCAAACATGTACAAAATTTTGAGTTCACAGACAGACAGTAATGAACATCATAGTTGTGTGTTCATATAATTTCACTAAAGCGCATTTACTCAATACATTGAAAATGTAATATTTAGAACTTTGAAATGTGTGCAAGAAACTGAACATTTTAAAAAACGTTTGTGTGATATTTTGAATTGTGGTCATAATTGTATTTTTACACTTAAACTTTTATTATTGACATTGCAGGTAAAAAAAATCATTGGAAAAACAAAAAAAGAAAAGAAATATGTGGTGAAATTTCTTGGCTGGAATGATGACCTGTAAGT